CTCTATTCTATTCCATTCCATATTTTCTATTCCATTCCGTTCCATATTTTCTACTCTAATTCTATTCTATTCTATTCTCTATTCTATTCCATTCCATATTTTCTATTCCATTCCGTTCCATATTTTCTACTCTAATTCTATTCTATTCTATTCTCTATTCTATTCCATTCCATATTTTCGATTCTATTCCATTCCGTTCCATATTTTCTACTCTAATTCTATTCTATTCTATTCTCTATTCTATTCCATTCCATATTTTCGATTCTATTCCATTCCGTTCCATATTTTCTACTCTAGTTCTATTCTATTCTATTCTCTATTCTATTCCATATTTTCTACTCTAATTCTATTCTATTTTCTATATTCCATTCCGTTCCATATTTTCTATTCTAATTCTATTCTATTTTCTATATTCTATTCCATTCCATATTTTCTATTCTATTCTAATTCTATTCTAATTCTATTCTATTTTCTATATTCCATTCCATATTTTCTTTTCTATGCTTTCCTCCGCTTTTCTATCCTATCCTATCCATCCCCAGGGCAAATAGATGGGGAAGAAATAGAGATAGTGACAGATTTTATTTCCCTGGGCTCCAAGATCACCGCAGATGGGGACGGCAGCCAAGAAATTAAAAGAGGCTTCTTCCTGGGGAGGAAAGCGATGGCAAATCTAGACAGCATCCTAAAAAGCAGAGACCTCACCCCGCCAACAAAAGTGTGTCTACTCAAGGCTGTGGTTTTCCCAGTTGCAATCGATGGCTGTGAAGGTTGGACCATAAGGAAGGCTTCCTCAAATCCTAAAATAAATTACCCAGATCTAATCCGCATATCAAAAGATAAAGTCTGCAGTTAAATTAAGTTAGGACTCCCAGTATAACGGCATGTTCAGAAGAATATATACTTATACACACACACACAAACATGCCTATCAAGTGTCACCATGTAGAAACTTCAGCATGTAGAAACTTCCACATCCCAGACAGGCTCCCCCTATAAGAATATGATGTTGTTACCCCATTTCTCTGCAGCCGACTCGGGCAATGCCAGTTGCCTCACCTTGCAAAGCATACAGCGTAACTCCAGACTGATTTGGGACATTTTGCCACAGTAATATTGTTATTTGGGATTTTAGCACTTTAAAAAGTGTTGTTAGCATTTAAAAAAAGAAGTGTTATTAGCATTTTTAAGCCTCAACCCTCTTTTCTACCTGGAGGAACACATGGATCTTTTCTTCTTAATCAAGGACGTTTCTTTTGGTATATGAAAACTTCTCTTTTTCAGCCCTAAAACAATACCAAGCCTATTTCTAAAATCTTCCAATACCCTTGCAAGTTTGAAGGAAGAGTGGTGGGGATGTTATCTCGAAACCGTGTTTTCTATTAGTTCAAGACTAACGTGTGATTAATGTCTTATTGCTTTCTGACATATTACTTTATTGTCACTTAAAAGGTACACTAATTGGCATAGATTAAAATGAAATTTCGTTGGCGTACAGCGCTCAGGCACCTCCATAATATAAACATAAACATGGCAAGATAAATACAAAATTACGCAGATGCCCTCATGTTGTTGTTAGTTGCAAAGTCTTGTCCGATCCATCGTGACCCCATGGACAACGTTCCTCCAGGCCTTCCTGTCCTCTACCATCCTCCGGAGTCCATTGAAGCTCACGCCGACTGCTTTGGTGACTCCATCCAGCCACCTCCTTCTCTGCCGTCCCCTTCTTCTTCTTTTGCCCTCCATCTTTCCCAGCATGAGGCTCTTCTCCAGGGAGTCCTTCTTCCTTCTCATTAGGTGGCCAAAGTCTTTGAGTTTCCTCTTCAGGATCTGGCCTTCTAAAGAGCAGTCAGGGTTGATCTCCCCCAGGACCGACCGGTTGGATGGCCTTGCAGTCCAAGGGACTCAATGCAGGAGTCTTCTTCTCCAGCACCCGAGTTCAAAGGCCTCCATTCTTTGGCGCTCAGCCTCCCTTATGGTCCAACTTTCACAGCCATCCATTGCAACTGGGAAAACCATAAGCCTTGACTAGACACACTTGTGTTGGCAGGGTGATGTCTCTGCTTTTTAGGATGCTGTCTAGATTTGCCACAACTCTCCTCCCAAGGAGCAAGCGTCTTTTAATTTCTTGGCTGCCGTCCCCATCTGCAGTGATCTTGGAGCCCAGGAAAATAAAATCTGTCCCCACATCCATTTCTCCCCCACCCACCCAATGTTCCCTCTAATTTTTTTTCAGTGTGAGCAGAAAAGTATAGTGTTTGAGCGGCATATTTTCATGCCTGAGCACCTGAATTTTTTTCACAGATGTCACCTAAGACAACAACGAAATCAGTATTATTTGAAACTCAAAGTTATGTTTATTCAAGGTACCCGCTTAATTAAAAGTGTTATATAATATCAGTATCACTTAACAACGCTCCTGCTTAGCAACCAAAATGTTGGCTCAAAAAGTCTGGCATTTGAAGCACGCAAGTCTTAAAGCTGTTGTTACAAGATCCTTGCACCCCCAACCCTTTAGGGAAAAAAAACCCAGGGGTCTTCAAACCTGACAGCTTTAAGATTTGTGGACTCCAACTCCCAGAATTCCTCCTCCAGTCCTGTTGCGGCGACGTCATCTGCGTGGATCTGCTCCATTTTCGGGTTTTTTCACAGGGAGCAGGGCTGCTGTTGAAGATGCCAACGAGCCCCCGCCGCCACTAGAATAACTGCTGCCGCAGCCCCACCATCTATTTGCCGGGAGTTGAGAGGGCCAGATGCCATGATCTTAGTTTTCTTAATGTTGAGTTTCGAGCCAGCTTTTGCACTCTCCTCCTTCACCCACATCAAGAGGCTCTTTATATTATGTGACAGAGAAACAACATAGTTTAGAGACAAATCTACACCTCTACACAAATGTAGTATTTGTTGCTGTCCGCCACACAAAGATTTATAATAAATGCTTAATTAATGCCTTTTGCCTTGCATGAATTACTTGGTGGTTTGTATTTCCAGGTAGGCAAAAAAAAACCACCCTTTGCAAAGGGAAAAAGTGTCTCAAATACAGGGATCAAGTTATTATCAGTTCCACGGGGCACCTGAGTTTTGAGGCAACAATATGAGTTTAAAAATCTAAACAATCAGTCTTGCTTAGTACAGGGATATACAAGGAAATGCAGACTTTCAGGCTAAATTGGGAAAAAAAATATCTCAGAAATCAGTGGCAAATTCCTTTTGCATTGGCCAAGAATTCACTTAAGAGCTGAGCTCTTTTATTTTTTAAACATTAAAAAAAAACACCTGTAACCGAACAACATGCTGTATGTAATGGATGAGAATTTTTTTATGTTGTTTTTTTTATGTTTAAAAATAAAAATATTGCAAAAAAAAAGAGAGCTGAGTTTTCTTCCTTATTCAGGGACCTTAATAAAGGATATAAATTGTAAATGCTTTTTTATTTATTAATTAACTGTGATGCTGGTGGTCCTTTGATTTTTGATGCAAACATACATTCAGGACAAATAATCCTAATTTCCCCAATAAAATCCAAGTCGATTAGAAACGCGGAGGTCTGTAATACTAGAACCGTCCCGCCCTTCGGTTCTTTTAAGGCATTTCAATTGTTTGTGAGGCAACGTGGAAAAGGCGGGAAAAAAAGCTGCCGGTTTAGTTTTCCCTCTGGTCCGATTGGGTGGTATATATTAGCCCGCTTCGCAGTCCGCTTTGGCAGTTTGTGTGTTTCCTGCGAGCTGAAAGCATGTCTGGGCGAGGCAAAGGCGGGAAAGGCTTGGGCAAAGGAGGCGCCAAAAGGCACCGGAAAGTTCTCCGGGATAACATCCAGGGCATCACGAAGCCCGCCATTCGTCGGCTGGCTCGGCGCGGGGGCGTCAAGCGGATTTCGGGGCTCATCTACGAAGAGACGCGGGGCGTCCTGAAAGTGTTCCTGGAGAATGTGATCCGCGACGCGGTGACCTACACCGAGCACGCCAAGAGGAAGACGGTCACGGCCATGGATGTGGTCTACGCCCTGAAGCGCCAAGGCCGGACTCTTTACGGCTTCGGCGGCTAATTTGGAGATCGGATCAGAAGGGAAGAGATGCGGCGGGGAAAAGGCCCTTTTCAGGGCCGCTCAAGGTTTCCAGAAAGGAGCTGCGTCCGATGCAAAGGCAGGGCGTTGCATNATATGCTGACTCTGTAAACCGCTTAGAGAGGGCTGAAAGCCCTATGAAGCGGTATATAAGTCTAACATTGCTATTGCTAATAAGCAATCAAATCAGACTAGGAAACAAAACAATATAAATTTTAAATATATAAGCAACATGGTCCTAAGTGGGGAGAGATAGGTACTAGGAAGGAAAAAATAATAGTAATACAGTCTTAGTAAATTATTTGACTGTTGTGGGAATTAGTTGTTTAAGCAGAGGGATGGCATTCGGGGTGGAAAATCGGTCCTTGAGTCTAGTTAGTTGTTCTGGTGAGCAGTTCCCTAGAGTGTCATTTTAAGGTTAGGAGTTGAAACGATGCGAGGGGTTTGTAAATATTTTTACAGCCCTCTTTTTCACTCCTGCAGTGTGCAGTTCCTCCATGGAAGGCAGCTTGATAGCAATTTTTTCCCCCTGCAGTTCTAATTATCGTTGAAGTCTGTTTTGGCTGGTTGCAGACCCAAACCAGACAATTATAGTGCAAATGACAGACTATAATTCCTCTGTAGAAAACACTAATATTCAGATAATGGGGGAAGGAAGAGAAGAGTTTAAAGGGGGGGAGGAGGAAAAAAATATTGAACTTCCAACTTTATTAGTGGCCCATTTGGCCATCTCTGCTAACTCCCATCACAGGTTTTTTTCCCCTCATCCCTTTTTCCACTGCATTGTGGGAATTGGCATATTTCTTATTTTTGCACCATTTAAAAAAACATTTTACCTATCCCTATGTGAAAGTGACAAGGTACAAATGGTGGTGTTTGCAGCACATTGAATCCTGTTAAAAAGTCTCTCTCTTCTGTGAGCTACGTTGGTATAATTTTAAAGAGTGCACGCTCTAGCGATATGAGGCGCGATCGTAAAATTTACCACTCTAATGGCAGCAAAATATACCACTCTCGTAAAGTAAAATAAATCACTCTTAATGGCGGGAAGTGACGAGGAGCTGAAGAGCCTCTTGATGCGGGGGAAGGAGGAGAGTGCAAAAGTTGGCTTGAAACTCAACATTAAGAAAACTAAGATCATGGCATCCGGCCCTCTCAACTCCCGGCAAATAGATAGGGAAGAAATGGAAATATTCTATTCTCTATTCTATTCCATTCCATATTTTCTATTCTATTCTTTATTCCATTCCATATTTCTATTCTAATTCTATTCCATTCCATATTTTCTATTCTAATTCTATTCCTATTCTATTCCCTATCCTCTATTCTATTCTCTATTCCATTCCATATTTTCTATTCTATTTTAATTCTAATCCTATTCTTTTTATTCCCTATCCTTTATTCCATTCCTATTCTCTATTCCATTCCATATTTTCTATTCTATTTTAATTCTAATCCTATTCTTTTTATTCCCTATCCTTTATTCCATTCCTATTCTCTATTCCATTCCATATTTTCTATTCTAATTTTATTCCTATTCTTTCTATTCCCTATCCTCTATTCTATTCTCTATTCCATTCCATATTTTCTATTCTATTTTAATTCTAATCCTATTCTTTTTATTCCCTATCCTTTATTCCATTCCTATTCTCTATTCCATTCCATATTTTCTATTCTAATTTTATTCCTATTCTTTCTATTCCCTATCCTCTATTCTATTCCATTCTATTCTATTCTATTCTCTATTCAATTCTATATTTTCTATTCTAATTCTATTCTATATTCTATTCTATTCCATTCCATATTTTCTATTCCATTCCGTTCCATATTTTCTATTCTATTCTAATTCTATTCTATTTTCTATATTCTATTCTATTCCATTCCATATTTTCTATTCCATTCCGTTCCATATTTTCTATTCTATTCTAATTCTATTCTATTTTCTATATTCTATTCTATTCCATTCCATATTTTCTATTCCATTCCGTTCCATATTTTCTATTCTATTCTAATTCTATTCTATTTTCTATATTCT